GAGTTTTTACTCTTATTGACAGGTCGTAACATTGCACACTCTTTCATATGTTTGGTCTTGCCCCAAAGGAATGTATATAGACCAATCACAATCACGATGGATCCTAGAACACTGAATATTTTAGAAAATAAGCAAAATAATAGTATAAATTTTTTCTTCAATTAGTAATGAGATCAACTATATTGTGGAAGTTAATTAAATAAATGATTATGAACACTCTTTTTAATATTCGCCAAAACACTTAACTGGGCATTCGTTCTCTAAACAATATATATTTTATTAAAAATCTTGCTATTTAGAAAAAAAAAAAAAAGGATTCATCAATTTAATGTGTTTTACGGATAAAAAAAATTCATATTTTTTTTTTGTGGTGCTAAAAAAATCTCATAGTATTATTTACCCATTTATATAAAAAAAGGTATAGTTATTTACCCATTTATATAAAAAAATGTTGCTCATACTTAATACAATTACGCTAGTAATAATAATGAAAATATACGTGTTTGTATTGTATTCATAGATATATATATACAACAAAAAGAGAGAGAAGAAATTAATAAAATACCTTCCCAAATAGATTGGTGTACGGAAAACCAAATAATCAAATAAGGTGGATGACATAAGCATGAGAGGAGTAAAAATCGAAGTGACGAACGGTCCTTGTTTTCTGATGCACCATATCACTCCAACTGTACATAGTCCTTGTCCGATCACACCCTATGCGAAGATTTTATATTGTTGTAATAAAAATATAATGTTACATGAATTATATGGAAATTTGTGATATAGTATATACCGTGAGAACAATGATAATGACGTTGATTTTGTTTTTGATAGCCCAATCGCTTAGATTTCGAGAGTTGATTAAGCTAAGAAGAGCGGCTTGGATCGTACCGAAAAACAATATAATAACGGTGCTTGAATATTGAGAAGGGTACTTTACGTTGATCTTAGCTTGAATAAGCATCCAACAACTATAGAAACTAACACCTATTAGCAGAAGTAGGGATCCTAACATGAAATTTTCTGATGAGTTATGTTTCGTATGTTCCTTTGTTCTATTGTTTGAAACCGTTGACCCTGTTTCAGAGCCGGTCAACGATACTCCTTTGTAAAATGTTAACAACAATGCTCCTCCGACACATGCCAGTGTACCAAATACTATGCCGTATGCTCCCTTGGTTTTTTTGTTTAATTTTTCAATTCTGCGATTTATCCCACAGAAAAATTGTTTTAACAGTCATAAATAATTTTTGAAGGTATTTTTCTTTAATTTAATGTTTATAATAATAGTTATACGTACCGACATAACAAAGACATGACAAATGTAAACGCAGGCAAAATGCTCCAGAATGCAGATGTCATTGAAGCAGAAGTGCGTCCAAGTCCAAGCAAGATGAAATATTGGGTTAGACTAGATCTGAAAAAAATTATTATCAAAACAAAATTGACGTTAGGAAAAGGGTCTAAAATGTTCAAATGGTAAAAAAAGGAAAAAATACTAACCCTAAAAGAGCACAGGAGAATAGTTGACACAAGATGCCTAGTGTCATCTTCGGCCTCGTTTTCCTAATCATAAGATTAAATATTTAATCTTATTAAGAAGCGTTAGATACAAAAATTGAAACCATAAGATGGTATGTAACACATATAAGAAGTCTTTTAATTACCTTTCTAAGAAAAATGCGATTGGAACGAGGGAAACGGTAGAGAGAGCTAAACGATAAGTAGCTATTACCATATGATCAATACCTCCATCAAGAACATATTTGAGCAGCGCATTAACAATTCCCAAAGTTGAGTTAACAACTATCATCATGATTACAGGTGCCCATTTCCCATCCATATAACCCATATATAATCAAGATTGCTCTCTCTCTCTTTTTCTCTATGCTGCTTGAATGAGTTTTTAAACACACTTAAGTGCATTTTTATAGTGAGCGGAGCCAGGCTTCGATACATTGGATCCCACTTGTAAAAAACTTAGTAAATATATAACTATGTGGTGGAAAAATTAACAAGAGTGACAAAGAAATATATTAACTTATTATTTCCATTCTTAAATTATTAGTTGAAAAAAAAAAGATTGTATCATTGTTACATTTATTTTAAGAATTTGGATTTATTATGATATCTAAAAATCATTGATATATCATATTTAATTTAAATATGTATTTAAGATTGACATAATTGTATTTTGTATGGGGTTCCAAAAATATTAAAACCACTCTGACTAGATCTTGGCATAGAATAGATTCCATTATATTAAAAGTTGATATATGAAATAAAGGGGCTATTATTCCTTTTCGGTTGGGGTATTTTTGCTTTGATTGTTCCTTCTTCAATTTATAGATTAGTATAGAATAATACCATTTTGTTGTTTGTTAATGGAATAATATCATGTTGCATACTGCGGGTGCATTTTCTTCTCCATATACAGTATTTGTTATTTCTGGCATTTATATAAAAGTTAGTTAAAGACTAAATTCTTAATTCTTCGTCTGCATCATAATGTGATGATTATAGTTATCAAATCATTTTTAAACGTTCCTTACGACCGTGGTCGTCGGGATGTTACCATTGATGATACCGTCAAATAGATTTTTTTTTTAATAGATTTAATTAGTATAATATTAATATTCTTATTCTCACCGTCTAATCTGATGGGACTACAAGCGAATCTATAATTCTTAAAGTACATTTTTACTTATAATAACATTTTTATCCTTTTAATTTAATTCTATATAACGTGTATCGTTTTGATCGCGACAAATAACACAAAATCCATATTAGATTATTAGTCGTAAAGACAAGAATAAGAGCTCGCACAAATTTTTGAAGAGGTATTGGTGTGGACCGGTCGCAGTTTGATTTATTGCTCAAGTTGGAATTTTTTTATTTTTACGCTTATGAATTATTACCATTTGAGATTCTCCATGAGAGGCTGAGAGGTTTGTGATGAAGAAGAAGAAGAGAACTGTTTTCTATTTCTCAATAACTTTCAACGTGAATTACAATGTGATAAGTTTAGGCTATATATACAAACTCTAAACCAACAGCTAACCAAACTACACAAGAGATTGAACCAAGAGTAAACCAAACCAACTATACATACTCTAATATGAATTATGATGATAAAGAATGGGCTTCTATTGTGTATACCCATGATGCAGATTTAGCCATTCATAGAATATCTTCTTATAACTGGATCATTGCATCGTAATTTTTACGGAACACAAATTGCCCGACTAAATCATATAATAAAAAAATATAGAATAACATGTGATATCATTACAACAAATAACTGTATATGATGTTTAAGCAGGCCCAATATTTACTAGTGGCCTGAGTTTATAGTCCAATGGGCTTCTTATGGGCCTTTGTGAAATTTCGTCTCTTAATGACTCAATAACCTAACGAATTAACAAGATGCTTTTAAGTTTAGACGCATTACAACGCTTTCTTAATTCATTTCATTTACTTATGTTCTCAAACTCAGCTCATAATATCAAACGATACTAATGGGACGATAACAAAAAACAAAACTAGATAAAACGAGGTGTTTTTATTAATGAAACAAGAAAATGGTCAAAAACTCTAAACATCATAATAATGAATAAATATTTCACAACTCTCTACGTAGATGTTTCGAGTTCAAGACTTCGAATAATAATACTCTTATCTCTTCTTAAACATTTGATTAACTATTTAAAAATAGAATAACAATATTATTAAATTATTAGACGGGAGACCTAGAGTCGTTATGGTTATTATTAATAGTTTGGTCTTCATTATCCACTTGAGCAGACAATGTAGTTGATGCTTCCTTTTCGTTCTTCTTACCCCACAAGAACACGTAGAGACCCATTACTGCCACTACTGATCCAAGTACACTGTAAAACAAAAGTTTTTATAAAAATGTAACTAGTGTTATATATGAGCAAGTACACAGTTAAATATATCAAAACTATATAAAAACGAAAATGAATATGACAGGGATGTTAGAAAGAAAAGAAAAAAAAGTACCTTCCGAGGTACAAAGGAGTGTGTAAGATTATGGAATCGAATAAAGTAGCTGCAATGAGAGTAACAGGAGAAAATGTTGATGCGAATACAGCTCCTACTTTCTTTATCCCCCATGTTAATGCTACTGTCGACATTGCTTGTCCTACCACTCCCTGTATACATGATTACGTGTATATATATGATCATCATAAGAGTCTTATTTACTTTTATGGAAGTTTTTAGACATTTTTTTTTTTAAACTTTTGTTGAAGATGTGATTTTATAACTTACTGCGTATGTGATGACTAAAATTACGAATCTATCGTGGATGACCCAATCGTGAACATCTCTGCCCTTGTAAAGACTCAAGAGAGCACATTGGAACGCAGCGAAAATGGACATGAGACAAGTGCTTGAGTATTTGCAAGGGTACTTAATGTTTAAAGTCCCTTGAAACAGCATCCAAAGGGAAAGAAACGTGGTTCCTATGGTTAGGAAGAGACATCCAAGAAGCCAGTTCTTGGTCTTGTCTTGATCGTTGTTGTGGTGAAGAGCCTTTTGGTGAGAGTGAGAGTTTGTTATTTGAGGGCCTTTGTAAAATGTTAAGAACAATGCTCCACTTATGCATATTAGAGTTCCAATCACCTTCAACACCCCTGCTTTGGTCTTTAGATTTTTTACATTTTCAGTCCTGAAAACAAAACGAAATTAGGTTATTTTTATATGATATATTGGAGAGAATTTGTCAAGACTATGCGTCATATCTCAAAATAAATCGTTATTTTTTAACGTCATAAAAAGACGAATTCTAAGAATCATAATATAGTAATAATTGATTTCTAAACTCAAATGATATGATAGATAATTTAACAAACCACTTCTTCAACGAATCGCTTTTTATTAGTTTCCGCATCCTTCCAACGAATTTTATAAATATAGGACGTCTACCTATAAAAAAAGACCTTTACCAGGAAAAGCTATAAAAAAAAGGGCCTCAACTGGATCGGATGTAGTTACGTATAGTTAAGGTAATTTAATGGAAATCATAATCATATTGCATAACAAATGAATATTGATAACACTTTCATTGGTGATTTTTGTTGTAAAAAAATATGGACT